GCAGCTAATAGCTGCCAAGAAGAGTTCCAGTTGTGCACGAATGAAATTGCACATTACAGGAAATCCCCATGTCTACTTTCTGGGGCTGGAGAGGAACTCCCAGCCAACAGAATCTGTCCATCTAAACACAGTGAGAGAAGAGGGGTTTTCCCACACCCTCACACATACATCCATACACACAGAAACATGCAGGCATACACACACACACGCACACACAATCTATAGAGACAGGAAAACACATGTAGGTAAGCACACATTAACTCCCACACTCCACACCTCCACATAGGGACCAATAAATGTAATTGTTCATATTTTGACTTAACTCATAGTTATGTATGTTGCATTACCACAGACATGCAATGTGTGTGTGTGTGACTGTGTGTTCCTACATACACATCCCATCATAACAAAGCACGGCTGTTCCTGTTCCCACAGGCAAGGGATGTAACATCCTGACACATCAATCACTGACTTCAAGTTCAATTCCTGGGCCACATTCCACTATTGACAAATATGAGTGGGGGCGGTGGCCATAGAACTCCATGATGTTCCTGATTGGAATGTGACCTTCCTGCCAAGAGACTTGGAAGTGCAGACACGTGCAGTGTTTGCTGTGGGCGTGCATTTGCAAGAGTGACAATTATGTTTGACGTTTTTGGTTGCGTTTACGAGATTTTGTTTATTTTTTTTTTTTTATTATTATCTCTGTATTTTCTCTTGGTTGGGCATTATCTGTATCTTCTTTCATCACTGGTAGAGAGAGAGATGGTTTATAACAGAATCTTAGCCAGGTCATCATGTTCAGATGAGGTCATTGGCAGCCGATCCGGCTTTCCCATCCTGTCGGCTACGCATTATTCGGCTAATTTGCACCTTGATCAGGCGGAAACTCAAACCATACATACAGCCGAAAACGTGGCTGTTCACATGAGTGCTGAATGAAAAGTTAACACAATGATGAGGACATATTACAACACTTTACATGGATCCGTGTATTACTGTGTTACTGATCGTTTTGAACGGTTCATATTATTCCAAATGGGTGGGAGGTACTGTACCCACAGCTTTTTCCCCAAAAGAAGGATTTTCAATAAAATGTGGAGAGCGAGAGAGAGAGAGAGAGAGGGAGAGAGAAAGAGACAGAAGCGAGTCATGGATTAAACTGTTTCACTGGCAAATTAGTTCCAGGGAGTTCCAGGGGGTTGAGGAGCTTCTCGAAATGTCATGAGTACAACATCTAAAGACCTTCATCACTATACTGAGAGCATTTGCATTTCTAAAAGGATGTATTTGGGTATTGTTGGAGCATTTGTTCATATTTTTTCAGAGCCCCCGTACTGCACAATGAGGATGAGGCAATGAATTGCTGTTTGCATTAAGTTTCTCAAAAATAAGTGAAATTGCTAAAAAAGTGTCGGGACCTTTCTATAAAATGCCATTTACATCAAAAAGAGATTTGGTTGTAAAAAAGCCAACTTTTCCTTTAATATTTTATATAGAAGCTTTTTGTCAGTGAGGCTGTGCTTAATCTGTTAACTCTACACTGGCAGCCTTCTAAACCCATGGGATCGATCCGAGTGTATATGGATAAAAGTCTTCATTGTAAAAGTTGGTTCCCATGAGTCAAAACTATTCACTAGACAACCATCTATATGAACCAGAGGCCAAGGATCCACGGCATAAATAACAAGATTACTTCTTCACCTGCTCGGGATTTACAGTAGTCTATAGTCACGGTGAACCATCTTTATTTCGGCTCAGTCGGATAGCGCCGGTAAATCCACAATAGAAGGGGGTTAATGTGGTGTAGCCTGAGGTCATGGCTTGGCTGGCACCAGGCACGGGTTGAGTTAGGTGTTATGTATGAGAGAAAAGTGCATCACACCCTGGGGAGGGTTCCAGCGGTGAGCCCCTCTCTCTGGCTGTCTGGATGGGGATCCATCCAGTAGTGTGGAAGGATTGTGCTTCTGGAGCTGGTTGGGTTAGTTGGAATGAGAGCTATGACCTTTCTGAGCTAGCCTTTGAATACCGGTATTACACTTTGTAATTTGGATGTACAGTATAGTAGCATACAATTTTGTACTAGACCTGCAATGCATCCCATGGAAAGAGCGGCTTAGTATGGGGATCTGGTCATGTTTCAAAACGATGAGAGATTTTAAATTGATAGGAAAGAAAATAAAAAGTTACAGAAATGGGTCTCTTTACTAGAGTAATAGAGCCATGAGTAATAGCACCGAGCACTTTGGCTAACATTAATACAACCATGGAAAATGCATGTAAAGAGCAACATTTAACAACAACAACACACTTTTATAGAAATACATTTTGTAGGGGATCTATCATTAGGGCCATTTAACAGTCATTTAGCGTCATTAAATGTCTGATTGGCCCATAAAATACAAATAAAACAAACTTATAGCAACAACAAAAAACTTTGAGCAGCTGTGTTTTAAACATTGCCGTGCGTACCTCATCAAAACGTCTGCTTTCGTGCATATGTACATACACTACATGACCAAATGTATGTGGACACCTGCTCGTCGAACATCTCATTCCAAAATCATGGGCATTAATATGGAGTTGGTCCCCCCTTTGCTGCTATAACAGCCTCCACTCTTCTGGGAAGGCTTTCTACTAGATGTTGGAACATTGCTGCGGGGACATCCATTCAGCCACAAGAGCATTAGTGAGGTCGGGCACTGATGTTGGGGGCGATAAGGCCTGGCTCGCAGTCGGCATTCTAATTCATCCCAAAGGTGTTCGTTGGGGTTGAGGTCAGGGCTCTGTGAAGCCCAGTCAAGTTCTTCCACACCGATCTCAACAAACCATTTCTGTATGGACCTCGCTTTGTGCACGGGGGCATTGTCATGCTGAAACAGGAAAGGGCCTTCCCCAAACTGTTGCCACAAAGTTGGAAGCACAGAATCATCTAGAATGTCATTGTATGCTGTAGCGTTAAGATTTCCCTTCACTGGAACTAAGGGGCTTAGTCCGAACCATGAAAAACAGCCCCAGACCATTATTCCACCTCCACCAAACTTTACAGTTGGCACTACGCATTCGGGCAGATAGCGTTCTCCTGGCATCCGCCGCCAAACACAGATTCGTCCGTCGGACTGCCAGATGGAGAAGCGTGATTCATCACTCCAGAGAACGCGTTTCCACTGCTCCAGAGTCCAATGGCGGTGAGCTTTACACCACTCCAGCTGACACTTGGCATTACGCATGGTGATCTTAGGCTTGTGTGTGGCTGCTCGGCCATGGAAACCCATTTCATGAAGCTCCCGACGAATAGTTATCGTGCTGACGTTGCTTCCAGAGGCAGTTTAGAACTCGGTAGTGAGTGTTGCAACCGAGGACAGTCTATTTTTATGAGCTACGCGCTTCAGCACTCAGCGGTCCCGTTCTGTGAGCTTGTGTGGCCTACCCCTTCTCGGCTGAGCCGTTGTTACTCCTAGACGTTTCCACTTCACAATAACAGCACTTACAGTTACAGCAGGGCAGAAATTTGACGAACGGTGCCACATTGAAAGTCACTGAGCTCTTCAGTAAGGCCATTCTACTGCCAATGTTTGTCTATGGAGATTGCATGGCGGTGTGCTCAATTTTATACACCTGTCAGCAACTGGTGCTGCTGAAATAGCCGAATCCACTAATTTGAAGGGTGTCCACATACTTTTGTATATATAGTGTATGTTTATTGACAGCGCCAAGCAACAGAAAGTCAAATAAAATACTGTTTGATTTAATGGTTGCGAGTTACATTTCTTTGCCCATCCCATGTGAGTTGTTTCCATTTATGGCATTTCCGTTTTACTGTTCAACACTGACTGATGAATCTGGCGCTTTGAGCCAAGCAACAAAGGACTTAACTTGGTCCAGCGTGCCATATTCAAGCTTTATAGTATTTTCCACTAAAATAAAAGGTGCCAAGTTGCCACATGCCAGCGGCTACAGAGACAAAGTGCAGCAGACATAGAAAACTTTCCTGTCACAAAAAACACTGACTGCTGCCCGAAATAGGGCAAAATTGGGACTGATAAATTTGTCAATGAATGCTTGAGACATTGAGAGAGAGAGAGAGAAAGAGAGAGAGAGAGAGAGAGAGAGAGAGAGAGAGAGAGAGAGAGAGAGAGAGAGAGAGAGAGAGAGAGAGAGAGAGAGAGAGAGAGAGAGAGAGAGAGAGAGAGAGAGAGAGAGAGAGAGAGAGAGAGAAAAGAGAAAGAGAGCGAGGGAGAGACGTAGAAGTACAGTGAGAGAAAGATGATGAGAGAAAGACAGACAGAGGTGGAATGAGACAAATGAAAAAGAGAAAAAGGGAGATCTGCATCAGGGTCTTTAATTTTGTTAGATAGTTTGTTTGACATTCAAGTTGAACTGGTGCCAGAGCAGACAGAACTAAGGGGGAGAACATACATTATTCTAAGGTTCAGACGGACTGTGCTCATAAAACAAAGTAAATCTCAGTTGACTATCAGATATAAATCCTACATTTTGTTTTCATTTTCTTGCAACACTGCAGTCAACAGCTAATAGAATATAAATATTTTTCTTTTGTTTATTTGTTTATTTTTATTTCACCAAAAAATATGGCGCTGTCTGTAAAGATTAATTCTATATTTATTTTCTCTCTGACAAAATGTAATACATCTATTAACAATCTGAAGGTCACAGGAGTTCAAGCATGCAATACAAACCAGAAAAACAAACATTCTTTAAAGGCCTTAACCCATAGTCATGAGGTCATAGGTGTTGGGTCTGACAGTAGTGATTCAAGTGGGTCTTTTCCTTAAAGCCTACACTCTGAGGCAAATCTAGGTCAATTTCTCCATTGATTTCCTATACTATCCAAGCACCCATCCATTCAAGTCTTCAAATCATTGAGCAGGACAATCCTTTAAGACAGATTGTGTGTCAATCCCTGAGATCTGACCATCTAAAAGTATTTCACACAAAAAGTCACAACAATGAATAAGACTAATCCTCCACCTTTCTTTTCAGAGCTTCCTCTTCTTCTTTGCTTTCTTCTTCCGTCTCTTCTTGGCCAGGTAGTTGGTGAGGAGGTTAGTCTCCCTAGCGTCTTCATCTTCTTCCTCTTCCTCCTTGTACCAGGGTCCCCACACCCCTCCATTAAAGTTAGGGTTGGAGCGGGAGTCTTTAGCTGGGTAGCGCACCGGAATGGCCGTCCTATTGAACTGTGCTAGCCTCAATAGCATCTTCTTCACTATGTGTGGGTAGTGTAGCGACAGGTCCACTCGTTCATAGGGGTCTGCCGTGATGTTGAACAGCCAGATGGACTTTCCACGATCCCAGCGGATGCGTTCGTTATGCCAGCGGTTGGTCAGAAGTATATTGGAGAACGTCTGCGGAGGGACCCAGTCGCTGTAGCCCGGCACCCCAGTAAGGAGCTTCCAGTGACCCACCCGGAGGGCGGCCCGGATGGCCGTGTTCCAGAGGCCGTAGCCGGCCTTCCAGGATCCGTTCTTGGCCTTAGTGTAGATGGGGTCGATGTTGTGCAGTATGTCCTGACGGGGGGATGGACGGCCCTCGCTGATGGTCTCCCACACGTCGTACCCATCCAGGTTGAGGTCTTCATCCAGAGTCCCCTCCCCCAAGGACACCAGGGTGGGGAACCAGTCCGTGATGTGGATCAACGCCCGACATCGGGTCCCCTTGTTCACAAGCAGGGGACTGTGGACGAAGCCTACGGCCCGGATGCCCCCCTCCCAGTAAGTTGCCTTGCTCCCCCTCAGTGGCCAGTTGCTGCCCCCGGCCATAGGCTGGCCCCCGTTGTCTGACGAGTACACTATCACTGTATTGTCGTAGAAACCGTAGCGCTTTAGCGCCAGCGTGAGGTTGTGGATGGCCTCGTCCAAGCAGGACACCATGGCGGCGTACTTGCGACGATGTAAGTTAGGGATGGACTTGTAGCGCTCCAGGTAGCGAGCAGGCACCTGTAGCGGGGAGTGGACCGCCTGAAAGGCCAAGTAGAGGAATAAGGGTTTCTGAGGGTTGTGGTGAGCCAGGATGTCCACAGCTTTTTGGGTGAACATCAGGGTTGAGTATTGGCCCCTATCTTGTTCCCAGGCCGCCTCCTCCCCTTCATAAAGATCATAGCCACACATGCCAGGACCGTCACATTTATAATGGCTGTAGTAGTCACCACTACCCAGCAGGGACCCAAAGAAAGTGTCGAAGCCGCGCTGGGTGGGCATGCAGCCGCGCTTGTAGAAGCCCAGGTGCCACTTGCCCACCATGTGGGTGGAGTAGCCCGCCTGCCGGAGCTTTTGGGGCAGCGTGACGTTCTCCAGGGGCAGGCAGTTGGCCTGGGTGGGCCGGATGACCGAGTGCTGGAGGCCCGTGTGGATCTGGTATCTGCATGGGTCACAGAGAGAAGAAATTGTGTTAGTCAATCAACCAATCAAATCTTATCTATGACTTTTTTTCACAAAGTACACCTCCAAAGAGAAAGCCAAGGTGAATAGCCAAAGTGGCTAGGAAACACTTCTAATTTGGATATCCATTGAGAAGAACCAGGGTATAGAGGGAGAGACCATCCTCATCTGGCTGGCCAGAGTATCAAAAACAGCATTTGCTTCCATTTACAGTTGAATATATTATAGTTGAATGCAGTATTATGTTTTGACAAGTCCATACACACACCGCCATGACACTGCTATGGTGTTTGGACTTTTCCTACCTCCACTTTTTGACATTCACCAGTTGGCTTGACTTCCTAAACGTTGAATATGCTTCCTTGGAATTCTATGCTTGAATTGTAAAGAGTTTCATGGCATATGATGTGCACACAAATTGCTCCGCATAGGGAAAATAGGCTATCCTGGATGAGAATATTTATACAATTTCAACATGCTACTGTATCATTTCCAATAAACTAAACCAAACACTCTCCCAAGGTTCTGGTAATCCATTTAAAATTCATACAGTTTAAGTTTCTAAAACGACAATGAATCCTTTCACAGGCCATTTAAATGCAATGAGACGGCACAGAAACAGCTTCGTATAACGGATTACAGACATTATGGATTATTCAATCTAATTGTAATTACAATGGATTTAGTCCAAAGCAAACAGGTTTAAAATGACAGTTGAGCACTTGGGCCAACACGTGCTGGCAACCGGAGAACATAGTGATGCTTGACAGGAGATATGGCAGAGGATGTAGTGGTAATAGTGGTGGGTATTTGGGGCGAAGAGTGTTAGGTCTAGATGGAAAACCCATCATTCAGGAGTCAAGACAAGCCAGGAAACAGAGCTGTGACCTGAAACTAATGATGTTCCTAACTTTTCTATATTGTGATGGCCATTTTGGCAATGATCGAGACGGGAAAGAAAGAGATTACTTGTGTTGACTTTGTCTTGGTGTCTTCACAAGGCTGGTGTTATGAGAGTGACAGAGTCTGTGCGAAAGAGGTCCACTCATCAGTGACCATGCATTTACATTGTTTACTATTTCCCTGCTCATGACAATAGGCAATCAAAGTCCAGAGGAAATTGTTTTCCCAGTGGTAACAATCAAACTGCACAGACAAACCAAAATGACTGTGTATGTAGTATATTTGTTTGCACAACTACTGCCTATGTCCACACGCCTTCTTCTGAAACTGGAAGCATCTCTTTGTGCTATGTTTACTGAGTACCTAAAACCATTCTGTGATTGTATATGGCAATGGGAATAAGGTCTGTTTATTATATGATACTATGTAAATACTGCAATGTTGGTTTTTAAATTGAGCACTTAGTCTCTGTAATGTAATCAAGGAAGGCACTATTCTGTTAGTAATGTGAAGTAAAAAGCTGTACAACCTTCATGTACAATGACATCGTGACTGATTTCTGGCTAGGCTACCCATGCTAGACTGGGAGCAACAAAGGCAGTCTTTTAAAAGCAGGTCCTCCAATGTCTATAGGTGACGGCCTGTCTTGGCTCAGAAAGCCAAGCAACCTGGAACGTTGGAGCCTGTCTCGGTAGTAATTATGTCTGACTCTCCTGTCCTGCTTTTAGACAGAGAAAGACAGACTACCTCAACCCCTCCCCCTCATCCTCCTCTACTTCTCTCTCATCCCCCTTTCTCTCCTGTTGCCAGTGGCAAACAGGCAACCACTCACTAAGGAGAGGTAGAGGAAATAAGAAGTTGGTGTGCACTTTGAAAAAGGAGGCTTTAACTGGAGGGAAGCCAGGAGGTGGCCAGTCAAACCAAGGCTTTCTTAGCAGGGTCTATACTCTTCACAGAGGCAGTGCAAGCACTGCAGCTCTGTGTGCAGTCACTCTTGGGGATAAAAATGTATGATTTTCATGTGGAATATACCTCCCTCACACAAAAACAACCCATGCATATGCACACACACACACACACACACACACACACACACACACACACACACACACACACACACAGAGTATGTACATGTACGCACACGTACATGCACCCGATCCCCTCCACACAGCACAGCTTGGCTTGTCATCATCCTACACAGTAATCTATAGATGCTCCTGGTTCAGTTTGGGCTAGGCTTACTTCAACCTTGAAGTGATGTGTGGGATCTGCAGGAGTTGATTTAAAACCTTTCCACAGCACCAAACACTTATTCACACTTGGACACAACTCTATGCTTGTCTTTCTATGTATTTTTAGCATACTGCATCTTGGAAGTGCAAATACTGTAGTGTATATACTACAGTAACACCTTGCCCTTGACTTAACTTGAACTTTATTAGTAAACAACATGACTGTAGGCCTAGGTGTTTTAGGGAAACTGGCAAATAATTCCCTGGAGAAACTGAAAGTTAGAAATGCTGTTTAGTTGATGAAACATTGGAACGTTCTTAGAGGTTTTAGACTTCATTGGTTATTTCCTGAGGTACATGTAATTCACTTAACATTTTCACACAACATTAAACTGTCAGACAGATGTTGACCAGGGTTTGCAAAATGGCATTAGGGTTGTTGTGTGTGTGTATGTGTGCTTGTGTTTGCGTGTGTAAGCCGCTATGTGCGTATGTTTGTAAGCTTATGTGTGCATGTGTGTGTGCGTATGTCTGTGTGCTTGTTTGTACTCTAAATGACAGAACATGGATTAGCTAATGGCCCTTGGGAGAGAGGGGGGAAGAGGGTAATGGTATAGTCTCTCTGGCAGTCCATAACTCCCTACAGTACAGTATTCTATGCCTCAGGAGTCAGTCAGGCGGGAGGATTGTCTTACTGAACAACTGAACACATGGAGCAGCTCTTCCTCCTCCTCCTCCTCCTCCTCCTCCTCCTTCTCCTCCTCCTCCGCTGCGTGGCAGATGTGTCTCAATGAACGCTGCACGGTCGCCATGGTAGTAAATGGCATCGTTCACAACACACCTCCCACTGGGGCACACACTGGTTAAATCAACGCTGTTTCCACGTCATTTCAATGAAATGACGTTGAACCAAATATGGAATAGACATTGAATTGACATCTGTACCAAGTGGGCTGGTAGCAGTGTTGTCGTTTGGTCCCATCTCCATCAGACTGTAGTGTAGTTACATGCAACACGCAGGGATAGGGTCATTAGTAGAGTATATACCCAACATCTGGCATCTAAAACCTAAGAGCCTCTAATGTCTTTTGAAAGGAGAATGGCTGTAGCATATGGGTTAACCTTTTACTGCAGTGGGCTAAATCAGGGGTCACACAGAGTTTTTCTTGGTAGTCTTAAACACATCTACTTTGAAACAAAAGTATACACCTCACTCACATGGTTATGGGTTTACAATAAAGAAGACACCTGTAACATGTCAGATATAAAGCTGAAATGTATTACATTTTGAGTTTGCATCCCAATATCCCAAAGATTGAAATATAACAAAACCATTGGACACATAAAAAAATGAAAAAAGTTTATGAATGATAAAAGTATGAAAAAAATGGAATAACATTCCACCCATGAGGCCACTAGGTCATTTGACTGCAAGAAAGAGCTACATAGGTCTGAGTGGCTCCTAGGATTCAAACTGGCAAATAACAACAAATAATCTTTGAAATGCAGAACATGAGGATAGAAATGGAAATGGTAAATGATAATCTAATGCTAACCATTCATGGAGGCACTACAGCGGGATCTGGGATGAGAACCAGATTGTGTGTTGGTTTCATGTGGGTCTGGGATGATCACCAGTTAGTGGTCTGAGCAGGGGGCCTCTCCATCACCACTCCACAACAAACACACTGGGGGATAGAGGAAGCATTGTTGTGCTGAGCTATCATTAAGTGGATCCAATGTGTATCAAATGAACTAATATAGCGATGGGAAAAACGAGTCAAGGGAAAAGCAACATCTGTCTTAGGGTAGAGACTAGAGAGACAATCAAGCAAGCCCTTTGGTGGTCCATGGAGGAACTTGGCGCTGAGCTCAATCTGAACCTGTTTACCCCAATGGCCATAATATATTCATCGACATATGTTGAAGTGAACTCAACAGACTTTACAACGCTAGATAGAATGTGCAGAGCAAACTTTAGTTTCCATCTACATACACCATCTCTCTGTATAGCTCTTTTCACAAGCAATTACACGTCCATGTTTACTCTCTTCATTTGCCCATAAATGCCTATAAAGCGCTTTATTCTCTGCCAGATGTGGACCAGCTTGTATACATTCCACCGGTGTATAAGATTAGATTTTCCATTCCATGCCTTCAAACTTCATTTGTTTTAATTTGTCCAGCTTCGTATTAAAGCCAAGGATTGAAATCTGGGATTGAGAGGAAGGGACAATGTCTCCCTGAGGGCATTTTTTCTTCAGATTTTAAAGCCACACAAAATCACAATGCAACACAGTTCGAAAAAAAAAAGGACAGATGCACACCAGAGCTGTGTGTGTGTGTGTGAGTATAATATGAGTCTCTTATGTGTTCATCTGAAAGGTAGAGTGTGCGTGTGAGAGAGATCAAGTGTGTGTATGTGTATGTGAGCGCATGTGTGTTTCTGCGAGTGTGTATGTGTGTGCCTGCATGCATTAATCTGTGTATGAGAGTGTGTGAGTTCACCATATAATTCTAACCCTCCAGAGAGTCTTGTGGGATGCTGGTGCTCACATACCAAAAGGTTACAGGCATGTAATGAGAATGTCATGCTACGCACAGCCTCGTATCCCTAAACAGATCAGTCATCTAAACAAAAGCTCTTGACGTGGACTGGAATTCCAAAGTATCCTGGTCTATATCTATCTACAGTACCAGTCAAAAGTTTACACACACCTACTCATTCAAGGGTTTTCCTTTATTTTTACTATTTTCTACATTGTAGAATAATAGTGAAGACATCAAAACTATGAAATAACCCATATAGAATCATGTAGTAACCAAAAGTGTTAAACAAATCAAAATATATTTTAGATTTTAGATTCTTCAAAGTAGCCACCCTTTGCCTTGATGACAGCTTTGCACACTCTTGACATTCTCTCAACCAGCTTCATGAGGTAGTCACCTGGAATGCATTTCAATTAACAGGTGTGCCTTTTTAAAAGTTAATTTGTGGAATTTCTTTCCTTCTTAATGCGTTTGAGCCAATCAGTTGTGTTGTGACAAGGTAGAGGTGGTATACAGAAGATAGCCCTATTTGGTAAAAGACCAAGTCCATATTATGGCAAGAACAGCTCAAATAAGCACAGAGAAACGA